AAAAAAAAAAAAAAAAAAAAAAAAAGCACTCTTACAAGGCAGAATTCTCCAACACAAGCAGAGCCACACAATGTTATGAACAAGTCACTCACAGTGTGCAGTCTTTGGTTAACATGTTACTAAAGATATGGTTGGTCATAAATTTGGAGAATTTGCTTCCGGTTGACGAATCAGGCTCCACACTCATTGCCCTCTGAAGGTGATCTGCAACAACTGTCACATTAAGGCGGTTTGCATCGGGTGACTTGGCCGCCGATACTGATGGCGATCTACCCCCAGAGAGTGTGGACACGCGGATTTGTGGAGGTGTTTGGTAAGGATTGTCCGGACTAAATTGCTGAGGGACACAGTGACGCTCGCCACGGTTCCTCCTCGCCTGCCCCGGGGGTCTGCAAAGTGCTGACATAACTTTCACGATCTGCCCCTGGACTGAGCGAGCGCCCTCCGTGGACTGCCAATTGCTGCTCTAGACGGACCACCTCATCCCACAAGACAGTGATCGTGCTCTTTGCCGCTTCTGCTTTCGAAACTGCCACGCCCTCTCTCATGGAAGCCTCGTCCAGGTCCTCCCACAAATGCTTCAACTCCTCCACCATAGCGGACACGCGTGTGAAGAGAACACCTCTCCTCCATGCGAGCTCATGTGCTTGTTCGATCATCCACCGGTGGGTCGGCGCGAAATAACCTGCCATGTCCACGACTTCGGTGATATCGCGAAGTGGAGAGGATAACATCCCTCCTTGCAGATGCGGTTTGGCCCCCCGATCAGATACCGGCAACAAGGCCATCAGTCACGGCACATGCGGAGAGAGCCCGATGATATTGTGAAAAACGGGGAAAAAAGAAAAATGTGAGGACAAAAAAAAAAAAACAGAAAAAAAAAAAAACGGGACATCATACATGGAAAAAACCTTTCACGTGAAAAAAGTGAAAATTCATTCCAAAGGGAAGACAGTTGTTTTCCCTGCTGTTTACAACCACCCCCCGCCCGTACCTGCGTCCCGTTCGTGGAGCAGATGCCGGCTGTCCCGCCATAACGCACGTGCGCTTCTCACCGATGACGACACCACCGATTATCATCCTTCGGATCCCAACGTTGTACCAGCCCGTGCAGATATGGTCTGCCCCCTCAGCAGGGGTTTCAATGCAGTTTTGTAGAAAGGGGTGTCCACCAGTTTGCCATCGTGCTCCTCGACTATGGCCGACATCACATGCTGGATTACATCACCGACAGTGTCAAGGTTATCACAATCGCACTCGTTCGAGATGATGTTGTGTAATTTCTTCGCGAAGAAGATGACATTGGATAGCAGATCATCGTCGTTGTATCCAATCGCCGCCATCAACTCGATGGCATACAACCCGCCAACATGCACGTCGTACCACCTGTCAGAATGAGCGGTGATGTTCGCGCTGAACACCAGTTCGGGCTTGTGCACCCAATCCCGGCTGCACAGTACCTCCTTCACCACCACCATGCGGCCAACCACAATGCCATCAAAGATTGTGCACATTTTCATCTCTCTCTCTCTCTCTCTCTCTCTCTCTCTCTCTCTCTCTCTCTC